ACATGACTGACAAAGGTTCGAGTCCTGGACCTGGTGGTTTGAAAAATCACACTGGGCACATGTATGGGCGTGTCCAAGATCCCGAGAGGAGACTGGAGAAGGGATTGCGGTGTGGCCATCTCCTCTGGGGGGTGATTTCTCTCTCTCTCTCTCTCTGGCAAGCGCACATACCCTGTGACAAAAAAAAATGAAAAACTTAAAATTTAAATAAAAGAAATCCATTAACAATAACTCTCTCTTCTCCCCTTCTCTCAGCCCCTGGTAATCACGATCCTGTTTTCTGTCTCCATGACTTGAACTAGTCTAGATACCTTATGTAAATGGAATCATGCATTTGTCCTTTGGTGTCTGGGTTCTTCCACTTACCAAACCTCTAAGGCAGAGTAATATTCTATTATATGGCTAGCCCGCATTTTCTTTATCCCATCATCGACTCATGGGCATTTGGATCATTGTCCACCTTTTGGCTATTGTGAGTACTCTAATATTTCTCTTTCATCCACAAAGTCACGGTCCCCTGGCTGCCTTCCTATTACTCAAACTTGCCAGGCTGGCTTCTGCTTCATAACCGTTATTCCATTTGTTATTTGTTATTTCCTCCGTCTAGAATGCTCTTCTCCCGGATCTCTCCACGGCTCTCTCGGTTTCATCCTTGCAGCTCTGATGTCACATCCTCAGAGAGGCCCTCCCTGATCACTATATTCAAAGTAATTGAACTCCCTTGTCACTGTAAGGGGTTTTTGTTGTTGTTTTGTTTTGTTTTGCCAGAGGGTGCATGCACTTATCAGAGAGACTGAGAGAGAGGGAGAGGGAGGAAACACCCCCCAATGGGGTGTGATCACATCACAATCCTTTCTCCATTTCTCATCAGGATTTGGGGCATGTTCACACGTGCATCCAGCATATTTTTCAAGCCTCTGGGGCTGGGATTCGAACTGTGGTTAGCCGTGTGGAATCGAGCCTTCCCAACTGCTAGACCACAGAGTTGACCCATGGTATTTATTTATTTCTCCCATGACTGAGAGATACAGAGAGAGAGACAAAATCTCCCATACGGTATCTATTTATTTGTGATTTTGGGGATGCCTAGTCCAGGATTTGAACCACGGTCAGCCATGTGAGTCCAGCGCCTCAACCACCATGCCCCTCCCCCCAATGGGGTTTGACATCCACCACCAGACCCAGCCAGCCCCAGATCACGGGCACGCACATGGCCAATGTAGTCTGGGAGGTGTCAAGATGTGAACTGAAGCCTTCTCATGTGGGTCAGCCTTGCAGAATGTCACCCCTCACAGCTGTGCCACCTCTCACTCCCCAGTCACATTTTAATCCACCATCCTATTGTAGTGTCTGCATAGTACATATCACTATCTGAAATGAATAGAAAATGCTGTCTAGACTGAAGGTTATCTTGTGTCATTGGCCCCTTTAGCATCTAGTGAGGTTTAATGGGTTCATTATCAAAATAATCTTTTGAAGCCCAGCCAGTGACGTAGAGGTTAAGATGGCTGGGTCCCACATGACCAACTTCATGGTTCGAGTCCCAGACCCAGCAGCTTGGAAAAGCACACCAGGTGCGTGTGTGTACATGCCTAAAATTCCAAGAGAAGAATGGAAGAGAAAGGACAGTGGTGTGGCCATTCCCCCGGAGGGTGATTTCTCTCTCTCTCTCTGTTTCTGGCGACTGCATGTGCCCTATAGCAAAAACCAAACCAAACCAAAACGGTATTTTGAAAATGCCTAAAGTATGCCAATTGTGCTAAAAATACCATTATAAAAATACTTAAAAATAGTGATTTTTAAATGTGCTTCTCTATTAATTTTTTCATGTGCTTCTCTATTAATTCTTGATACAACAATATCTATATGGAGGCTTAATAATTTTCAAAGTTCTGAAGCCGTGATGAGTATCAATGCTTTTCTGAAATAGTTGCAAAAACTGAAATAGGAAACAAAAATAACAGTGATTTCTATTGGGTACAAAATCACAGATAGTCTGTAACATTACTGTAGATTGTTACCAATGTTTGTAACTAAAGAAACCACTGACCTTCAGTTAGAGATGAGTGAAAAGAATGCATTTGTTTTCCTATCCAAGATCATGGATCCTCTGAATTCTATCCACAGACCCTTTGGAGGTCCGTGGACCCCAGGTTAAGAACTCCTATCTCAAAAGGTAAAAGATTAACAGCATTGATGAGTAGAGTCTGTGGGAGCTGGGTGTTTTTGTTTTATTTTAGTCTTTAAATTTCTTCTGAGAAACACACACAGATACACACACACACACACACACACACAGAGGAGCCGGCAGGTGGCATGGTGGTTAAGGGCACTGGACTCCCACATGGCTGACTGTGGTTTGAGTCCCAGACCTGGCGGCTTGCTTTCTCACTTTCTCTCTCTCTCTCTCTGGTCAAATTAAAATAAATAAATAAAATTAAATAAAAACAATTCTTTAAAAAGAGAGAAAGAGAGCAAGGCATCCCCACTAGGGTCTTCACACCATGATCCTACCCCCAGCCTCAGCCAGTCAGGATCACAGACATGTGTGCACTCGCGTGGTATATATAGGGAGATTCGGGGTCTTGAACCTAGGACCATCCCATGTGGTCGCAACACATTGTGTTACCATTGCACCACCACGGCTGGCCTGAAACTGGTTTTTGTCTGAAATAGAGGAGATCTCAGTAAGCCAGGGGTAAAGAGCTAGAAGAAAGCTGCCTTCTCCACCCCTTCACAGAATGGGGTGTACGAGGACACAGACATTTCCAGTTGAGAAGGACGTGAGAAAAACAGTATGTTTGGACAGTCGAGTGTCACTTGGAGGAAGGAAGCAGTTTGTGAAGAGGTCTGCAGAGTAAGGGATTTTATTTACCGTGGACTGGAGTCCAGCGAGCACAGCAGACCTGGGGAGGGGAGAGACGGCCACTGTGGGAAGATGAGCCACTGGGGTAGGGGTGGGGAAGCGCAGAGCAGTAGCTGGAACCCTTGGTATATTCCAGACAGCAGGCCAGACACCGAGGATACAAAGATGAATAAGACGAAGATGAGTCACCCATTTAGGATTCGTCTAAGGCAAATCCTGGTGGCTGATTGGCTGGTTTGGCTGGTCTGATCCATGCACCTCTTCAGAGACCCTGAGAGCCAGAGACAGCAGCAGTAAGATAGGTACAGGGTATCAGAACGATTTGCGGGGGAGGGGGGGAGAAGGGGAAGCTAAAAAGAAAAACATACTCTTCTTTCCTCTTCTGATGTCTTTTGCAGAGCAAAAAAAAAAAAAAGATGTAAGAAAAGTTACATAACAGAGAAAAAAACATAAAGCACTGTCATGATCAGATCATTAAAACCAACCAATGATACAAAATTTAATTAGATAAGCCTAGGGGATGCATCCCCCACCTTCACTCTGAATTCTTCAGGAACCTTCCAAGGATCTTTGCAACCAGGAGATTCTTTGATGCTGTTCCCCTTCAAAACAGTGTTCAGAGGGAACAAAGGAAGAAAGAAAGGATGATATTTTTAGATATTTTTCTCTGGGGCTCCAGAGATATCCTGCACCTGGGTCTCCTCTGTATTGAGCTCTCAGAATCTAGGATTTGGTGATTCTTTTTTTAAACACAATTTCCCACTTCTCTGCTAGGGAGATCTTTCAAAAAGGCTCAAGTTGGGGGCTGCCGCAGGTGGGAGGCATTGTGGGGGGGGCAGCTACTACTTTGATCATGTTCCCTTCTGGCAGTGGTGTCTGAAAACTCCCTTGAGCCTGAAGGGACGCAGCCCCTCTGATGGAGAGGCAGCAGACAGACAAGGGAGACAAAGCGAAGGCAAGGCTGAAGCTAGGCTGACCTAGTTAGAGCAGAAAGAGGCTGCAGGGGCAGAGAATGGCTTGGGAGGGGACTGGGGCAGGGAGGCCCAGGGCAGGGAGAAGCAGATGGCTGACTGTGTTTAAGAAGCCTTGGCAGGACGTGGGGGCCACCTAGGGGAACCACATGCATGGCCACTCAGTAGGCTGGGGTGCATGTGTACATGTGTGCAGGGTGTTTGGGAGAGTTGCCTGAACACTTAGAATTTAAAATCATGGGACCAGCAGATGGTGTAATGGGTACGTCACTGGACTCCCACGTAGTTGACCGTAGTTCGAGTCCAAGACCCAGTGGCTTAAAACTCATGCTGGGCGCATGTGCGTGCATGCCCAAAATCCCAAGTGGAGAATTGAGGAAAGGAAATTGCAGTGTGGCCATCTCCCTGAGGGGGGGGGTGATTTCTTGCTTTCTGTCCCTCTCTGTCTCTCCAGCAGGTGTACGGGCCCTGTGGCAAAAATCTCTCTCTAAACAAAAGCAAAAACAAAACAAAACAAAAAAAAGAATTTAAAGTCACAACCTGGGAGGCAATAAGAACTGGAAATACCTGGTCCTTAGGAGAGCCGAGTGGGGAGCGCCACTAACCTAGCAAGAATGAATGAAAAGAACCAGTGCATCCTGACAAGATTCCCTAGTTGGGGCAGAAGCGTCAAGGGGAGGTCATATATACCCCGTGAGCCCCATGCTGCACTGGGACTGGTCAGGGACAGGGAAGTGCCCTTCAGGAGGACACAGTCTATTTGAGAAAACACCAGTCCTTGTGAAGCAACAGTCAGTAATCGAATGCCATATATATCTGTGAGTGCTTTTGGCCACACAATGGATTTCTGGCCCAAATAGGGAAGGCTGGTGGGCATTCAGCTGAGCCCTGAGGTCTGGGAGGGCAGGATTGGGATGGGAAGAGAGAAATAGGCATTCCAGAGTGAAGGTGCATGGCGGGGGTGGGCATAAGTTTGACTCCTGTGTGGAGACCATGGAGGTGGCCAGGCTGACGGGACTGGACCTCCACTGAGGGAAGATGGGGAAGTCCAGACGGACTGGGGACAAGTTGGACCACAGAGGACATTTTAAACTTATAGAAAGGACTCTGTCTAAGTCCAGGTTTTGGAAGGGGTCCGGCCACTTGCCTACTCTCCCCTTCTCCTACAAGCCCATCGTGGAATTCATTGATGCGCAGTTCGAGGCCTACCTGCAGGAGGAGCTGAAGATCCGGAGAGTGCTGCACACCTACCATGACTCCCGAATCCACGCCTGCTTGTATTTCATCGCCCCCACGGGTCATTCCCTGAAGTCTCTGGACCTAGTGACCATGAAGAAGCTGGACAGTAAGGTATGGAGGCAGGATCCACAGTGGCAGAGACAGGGCCGGGAGGCTGGGCAAGCAGGACTCACTGTTGCTGATCTCTTGTGCAAAGTAGATGCTGATTCCCAGAGAGCTTTGTGGCACCCTCAGCCTCTCTTTCACTTCCTGGCCCTCCATTGTGTCATTTGCTCTGTGATCTGTGTTCTGGGTACTGGGGACAGATTTGCCCTGAGCTGCCTTTATGCCTTTTGGGAATAAGGATAGATGCAAGCAAGATAGTATGCAGGTCTAGGGCAGAGACTTTGGCAATGGAAAGGTTTTTTGTTTTGTTTTGTTTTGTTTTGTTTTGTTTTTTCCTTCTGTGTCCTAATATTAACTAGCTTGTGCTAGAATCAGGCATGCAAACTTGGCTTTGGAAGTTATTACTCTTGGGGCCAGCAGGTGGCGTGGTGGTTAAGAACATTGGACTCCCACATGGCAGATTGCGGTTTGAGAGCTGGACCAGGCGGCTTGCTTTTTCACTTTCTCTCTCTCTCTCACTCTCTCACTCTCTCTCTGGCTCTCTGGTCAAAATTAAATAAATAAATAAAGTTAAATAAAATAATTGTTTTTTTTTAAAAAAAAAGAAAGTTATTACTGTTGTTTTTTGGGTTTTGTTTTTTTTTAAAGATTTTTGCTGTAGGGTACGTGCACTTGCCGGAGAGAAACAGAGAAACAGTGAGAAGGAAAGTGAGAGATCATGCCCCAGAGGGGATGGCCACACCACAATCCCTTCTCTATTCTCCTCCTGGGATTTTGGACATGCATGCACATGTGCCCTGTGTGATCTTAATGCTTTTTTTTTTTATTGCTAGAAGGCATGTGTTCTTTCCAAAGAGAGACAGGGAGAGGAAGAAAGCATCCCCCTCAATCAGGAGTGGTCACACCACAGTCCTGTCTTCATTTCTCCATCCTGCTGGGATTTTGAGCACGTACTCACATGCACCCAGCCTGCTTTTCAAGCCACTGGGTCCAGGACTTAAACTGTATGGTTGGCCATGTGAGCTTCAGCTCACTTAAACACAGGTCATGGGACTGGCCTATCAATAATAATTTTAATAGAGCAGCCAGCTTTTGTTAAACCCTCATTATATAACCCTCAGCCACCGCTGAGCTAAGTATCTCATGGAATATCTCACTGAGTCCTCTCAGCGCTGAGTAGTAAACACTATTCCTATTCTATTTTACAGAAAAGAAACTGGAGCCTCTGAGAGGTTAAGTGATTTGTCTGTTGCCATATAGTAGCTACTGGTAGAGCCTAGATTTGAAGTCAGAGCTGTGGCGCCATGTTCTAGCACCTTCATGCTTGAGAAATATGGCTGTGGAAATTTGGCATGTCCTGCTTAATAGATACTAGAAAATGCAAATCCTAGACCATATATAAGTTACACAGTGTTTTTTATGTATTACAAGATTATCCATTATATATATAAGGACTGACCACAGTATCTTTTTTTTTTTTCCCCTTTTGGGACCTTTATTCATTGGGTAAAAGGATTTTATAGAGGATATCCCCAGAATTATTGGGTTGTCAGAAAAGTCATGACTTATTTTTTTTCCCATGTTTTTCTATGCAAAAATGTATCAAGACTTTTTCAATGACCCTATATTTTAATTTAACTTAGAATCTTTTTTTAAAAAGTTTAATTTATTTGGGAACCAGCAGTTAGCGTCATGGCTATGTCACTGGACTCCCACGTAGTCGACCGCGGTTCAGGTCCCGGACCCGGTGGCTAAAAATCGCACGCTGGTCTCGTGTGTGTGTTAATAAAAAAGAAAAAAAAAAGTTTAATTTATTTTATAATTTCTTATGCATACTTAATTGCTGCGCATCTTTGTGGGCAAAATATGGTTTTTCTTTTTTTTTCAGAGAGGTTTTTGCTATAGGGTGTGTGCACTCACCAGGAAGACGGAAAGAGACATAGAGACAGAGAGCGAGAAATCACTCCCCAGGGGAGATGGCAATGCTGCAATCCCTTCTCCTCTATTCTCCTCTTGGGATCTTGGGCATGCATGCACACGCACCTGGTGTGAGTTTAGGCCACCGGGGCCGGGACTTGAACCACTGTTGACTACGTGGAAATCCAGCGACATAGCCATTACGCCTGCTGCTGGTCCCCACAATATGGAGAGGTGTTTTTTTTTTTTTTTTTCGCTATAGGGCGTGTGCGCTCGCCAGACAGACAGAGACATAGAGACAGAAAGCGAGAAATCATCCCCAGGGGGGGATGGTCATGCCGCAATCCCTTCTCCTCCATTCTCCTCTCGGGATCTTGGGCACGCACGCACACGTGCCTGGCGTGAGTTTTAAGCCACCGGGTTCGGGATGTGAACCATGGTCGACTACGCGGGAGTCCAGCGACATAGCCATTACGCTAACTTCTGGTTCCCTGGTCCCCACAATATGGTTTTTCAAAGCAGTCACATGATATATGGATATTGCCATACTCATTTTCTTCAACAAAACATTTGTTGTACACCTTTGATTTTCATTCTACTGGTTTTTGTTTGGAGATAAGTATATATATGTATATGCGTACACACACACGCGCACACACACACATAAGGTTGGCAATGCCTTTCCTTTAAAAAAAAAGTTGTGATTTACCATCCCATAACCTATCTGCTTTGTTGACATGCATTCTTAGATGGCATAATGGCTACATCGCTGGACTCCCATGTAGTCGACCATGGTTCGAGTCCTGGATCTGGTGGCTTAAACTCACACCAGACATGTGTGTGTGTGCGTGCTCGAGAGGCTGAGGCTCCCCACCCCATGAGTCTTCTTTCTTGTTTTTTGTTTGTTTTTCCTTCAATTTTTTGCCAAAGGCCACATGGGCTTTCTTAAGAGAGACAGAGAGGGGAGGAGTGAGAAAGCAATACCCCCCCACCCCCCGAATGGTCACACAGTGATCCCTTGTCCTCCAGCTCTCCCTTCTTTCTGGATTTTGGGCACTCATACGCACATATGCCCAGAATGTTTCTCAAGCTGCTAGAAACCATGCAGTTTGCTATGCGGGATCCAGCCGCCTTAACTACCCTACCTAGCCACTGGCTGACCCAACACACACAGGAGTCTTTAAAAAGACTAATCACGAGGAGCTATCCCCTCCCTAAAGTTTAGCGTGTACCAGGCACTGTGCCGAGTACTATAGATGTATTATTTTATTTTGTCCTTCCAATAATCCAGTGTGGTGGATACTATTATTATTCTCATTTTACATAAGAGGAAGCTGAGGCAAAAAGCAGCAAGCTTGTTCAGGTCAGACAGCATGTGATGGATCTGACATCTGGACCTCCCTCTCTCTGACTCGGAGGTATTTTATTTTACAAAACTCTACGTGCAGCCATTTGGTAGCACATCCACTATAAAAACTTGAGTTTCAGCGTTAATCGGAATCAGAACAATTTTTTCTTTCTCAACACAATGCGCTCACTGCCCGTGAGTAATAGGGGGTAGTTAAGGCACTCACACATGGCCAACCATGGTTTGAGTCTCAGTCCTGGAAGTTTGCTTCCACTTTCCCTCTCTCTCTCTCTCTCTCTCTCTCTGGTGAGTGTGCATGCCCTATAGCAAATTTTAAAAATAATAATAACATTAAATTAATTATTCTTTAAAAAATAATGTCACCATGTCCTGCATGTCCTTTAGTAAGGGGCAGAAGTGAGCCACGTGGCTGGGGCCAGCTGGGGGTTGGGGGCTGGGGTAAGGAAGTAGCCTTCGACATGTTTCTAAGTGTGCCTATGGGGACTTGCTGAAAAGCAACTAGAATCGGCTCTGCCTGCTGTTCTGCCTTGGCAAAGCCTTTGTCTCCCACCTCCCCCACCCCAAAAGATTTGAAAGGAGGTACCTCTAAAGTCCAGGATGTCTTTGACCCAGCTCCTGAAGTCCTGTTTGATATCAACCTTTTAGAGGTACTTGCAAGCTAAGGTGAAAAAGAGGCAGGAGCTGTCTTCCAAGTCTAGAGCTTCCATACCCCTGTTCAGAGCTAGGGTTTGAGCACTACCCACATCACCCATTGGGGTCTGCTGGCAGGAACCTGAGCTCAGGCGTGCTTCGCTCACAAAGCCATGCACATTTCAAGTTTCCTTATCTGCTGGCAGTAAAAGCCTTGTCCTTTCTTGGAGGAATCTCAAGGATCAAGGTTTAGTTAGGTTGAACTTTAAGGTGGTATTAGGCCTTCCTCCTGCCGTCTAAAGTTTGGAATTTATACCTGCATTCTCTTTTTTTCAATGATTTAATTCTATTTGTTATTATTATTATTATTTTAAGTTGACTAGAGAGAGACAGAAAGGGAAAGCGAGAAAGCAAGCCGCCGAGTCGGGACTCGAACTGTGGTCCGCCACATGGGAATCCAGCGCCCATACCCACCACACCACCTGCTGGCCCCATGCCTGTATTCTTTACCCAGAAGTTAAACATGAAACTGGGACAATACAACTCTTTTTGCATAAATCTCAGATCCAATTAACAACTGAGAAGATCTTTTTCACCACATCACATTGGTTGATCAGTGCTTGCTGCCAGAGAGCTGGGTGTCCTCACTGAACATGGCTTCTGCCTCCCCTCCCCACCGTCTCCCATAAGTCCGTATCTCATCTAACCTGGACTGGATGAGTTGGGACAATTCACTGTTAGTAAGGAGTGGCCCCCTGTCAGCCACAACCTCCCAACTGTCATCATTCTGCTTCAAATCATGATCACGCAGCTCATCCTTGTGGATCTGAACTGGCACGCACCACAACTTGTGGTTAAGACCACAGACTTAGCAATAAGACTAGACTTGGATTCGAATCCCAGTTCTGCTCCCTACCTGCTCTGTGACCTTGGACAAGTTACTTAACCTCTCTATGCCTCAATTTCTCACTGGTAAAATAGTAGTAAAAAATGCCACCTGGGGGGACCAGCAGATGGCATAATGGCTACATCGCTGGACTCCCATGTAGTCGACCATGGTTCGAGTCCCGGATCTGGTGGCTTAAACTC